TCATGAAATATTCCCAGAATGTACTAAAATCAATTTTTCTTTATGTAAAATACGATAATTGATAAAAATATCTAATCTATTTGATTTAATATTTTTTATAATCTAATAAAATTGATTTTCATTCGTATAAATCAAAATAATCGTTTTTTGTACCTAAAATGTAATAGATAATCTAATAACTAAGTGTTGTAACAATTTTAAATACACATACGATATCGATTGATATTGATCTGTTTTTTCTTCAAATTTTTCGTTACATAGATACAAAATAATAGTTATTTTAATAGCAACAAATTCTTAGCTGCGATAGGCATGTCTACGATTAGATTTAACTTCATGAAAGATTTTTCAATATAAAAAATCTAATTATTAAATTTTCTTTTAGCTTAAAAGTGTAATGGTCGTTGAATTTTCTCTTATTTCTTCTCCATCAAAATCTGTTACATTTTCATATTCATCTACATTTGATCCACTTAATCAAACACATAATCCTGAAATAATATGTACAGGTGGTGGTGGAGTTGAAATTGATGTTGAATTTACATTTAATTCTAAAGTATCTACATCATCAATGCATGTTTATGAAGGCGTCTTATTGAGTCGAGATGATCGTAATCGATCTATTTACATAACAATTTGCACTCAACAATCAAATGAAACATTACAAACAATTACATTATCATCATCATCAATACAATTAATTTCAACATTAGCTAGTAGTATTGATTTTGGACCAGATCCGATTGATCAAATGACAGTTACACTTGAAGCAATAAATCGTTTTGATGAAGCTATAACTAAACGAAATGTTTTATTTCAAGAACATGTTCATGCATGGAAAAAACTATGGACATCTGGTATTGATATTGAACCCTTAGAAAACCATCCATTTGTGTTACCAAAAATTATAATGGATACAGATAAAAATCATGAAAATGATACAGTTATAACAACATTTTCACGATCATTAGATATTGCACAACATATTAATAGTTCAATGTATTATTTATTGTCTAGTTCACGTGATGATTGGCCGTACGTATATAAATTTAAAATAAAATATTAATAAAATTATATTCTTTAGATATGGTATTAGTCCAGGTGGATTAGCATCACAATCTTATTCGGGTGCTATATTTTTCGATATGGATTGGTAAATATTACTTTTTGATTGTTTAATTGAATATTAATTTTATTTCCGTAAGGTATATGATGCCTGCTCTTTTACCATTCTATCCATCACATGCAGCAAATATTCTTCGTTTTCGATATAATAGTTTAGAAGAATCAAATAATATTGCAAAAATCTTTGGCTATAATGGATCGATGTTTGCATGGACTGCGTATGTATTCAACATATTTATGAACTATTAAATAATATATTATATTTTTCTAGATCATATTTTGGTCGACCACAAGTAAGTAAAGATGGATATCTGTAAAATAATTCGTGTTAATTATTGAAATAAATATAGGGTTGTTGTGATGGAAAAGGTGGTTGGGAAAATTGTATAGAACAACATATTACCGGTGATGTAGCAGTTGCTGTACAAATGTATTATTATGCAACAAAAGATAAATTATGGTTACAAAATATTGGTTGGCCACTTTTACGTGACATTGCTCGATTTTGGTCAAGTCGAATAACAAAAACAAATAATATAACATATTCAATTGATGGAATAATGCCTGTTGATGAATGGTGTGATAATACACAATCAAAATGTGGTGATGTTGGTGTTAATAATGCAATACAAACGAATGCAGTTGCTGTTGTATCATTAATATTTGCAACTGAAGTCGGAAATATGTTTGGATTTGATGTTGATCCAGAATGGATTCAAACAGCAAAAAAATTAAAAATAAATTTTAATTCTACAACTCAAACACATATACAATGGGATAATGGTAAATAAATCAGTGTTTTATCTAGGCTTCGTTGCAGGTGGATAAAACAATTAGAATAAATATTCATATTACTTTTTCTGATTTTCTCTTTTAGCTGTAGCACCGTCATCACCACATACATATGTCTGTCCTGAAGGTAAGCTTAATACTTTCTTTTTGCTTTTTTTTCGATCATTATTTTTTCGAAGATGTTTTATATTTAACTTATCCAATGAATTTTAATGTCACACCAGAAATAATAAGAAATGATGCTGAAACATTCATTCCAATAACATGTCAAGAAAATGCTGGTATGACAGCTCCTATTCATTCAATTGTATGGCTTCAATTAAATGAAACATTAAAAGCGGAAGGAGAATTTAATCGATCGTTACAAGCTTGTACATACGGAGAATTTCATGTTCGAAATGAAGTTTGTTATTTCATTTTAAATTTATATTATAATATACATATATGTTAAAATAGGTCGATATTCATGAAGATATTATTGGAGGACATGGATTTAAGTAAGTAAATAGTCTGAATATTGAAAAAGTTCTTATTGTGCGTTTTAAACTTTTACTAAGTTCAATTGATTAGAATTGTTTATATAATTCATTATACATTACATTGATAGTAAAGACCTATAAGATCGTCTCAATTTTGATCTAATCAACAGTAAAACATAGTTTTTCGAATTAATTGAGCGGAAATTTTAGAAAATAACTCAAAGTTAATTTACTAAGATATTTCATATGTAAAATAAATAAATATTGTAACTCGAATGTATCATTGCCAGAATTCTTCGTACGATAAAAAGATCCAATATTATTATACATGTGTATTACGTAACAGCGAAAGACTGTTATTTGAACAGTTGAGCTCTTCACTTTTAATCTTTTCAACAATAGATCATTAACACAAAACTATAACTATTATGAATGTATGCGTCATTTGAAATGTATAATTTTCTATAATTACCGAAGAATAATTCAATTAACAGATTTTTATTTTTGTTTAGTACTCATTTTCTTACGGGTGATGGTGGTTTTATTCAAGCAGTCATGATGGGCTATGCTGGTCTTCGTTATGATGACAAAAGTCTTTTATTTAATCCATTACCAGGCATTATTACACCTGCAACAAAAAGTATTCGATTACGAAATATTCTCATTCAAAGAACTTATCCTTTTGATTACACAATTGATGAATCTGCTGTTCATTTTATATGTTCTAATTTATATGAAAATATTCTCTGTATTACTGATAATGATAATAATCAATGGAAAATTACAAGTAATGAATTATCATTAAAATTTCAAGATATTCAATTGCCAATACGAATTGATTTATGCAATTAAATTGTGATACTTTATTCATACAGTATAGCTTAGAATATATAAACGCTGTAGAAAAAAAAAATAGAAAGACACGTGCTTATTTAAATAACATTTTATAAAATAATAATAATAATAATGATTTTGATTATCAGATATAAAATGTCATTCAATACTATGATTATATACATATTTAAACATGAGAATAAATAATTTAAAAAAGAAACAAAAACAAAAATTTATATCTTAACTCTTAAATTTAATTTAACAAAATGATAGACTATCTGAATAAAGCAAAGAAAAGAAAAGCAAAAAAAAGATCTACATATTTGTCGATACTCGATCAACGTTTGATTGTTTACCCATACATCGACCAATACCCGGTAAAATTTCACCTTGAATAGGACCTTTAAGAAAAAATTTACTTATAAAATTATGAAAAAACTTTCATTGAAATAAATTTACCATAGGCAACTTTTTCTCCATCAACCATGATATTTCCATGGTCATCATTTGGTACCAGACGAAATGCACGTATACGCATCCATTCAACAAAATTAAAATCAAAATGATTTCCTTCGGATAATTTTGTAAATGTTCTAGCAAGATTTGTACGTGTTGAGCCATTTGAACGTATGAATTGTAATGTTAAATAACCATCAGATAATGTGGATTGAGATGAGGCTACAATATCTTTTGAGATTGAAGCTTTTGATGTAATTAAGACATGAGCAAATGGTCCATTTATACGAAGCCATTTAGTTGTATTAGAATCAGTTGGAATAGATTCATTCATTGGTAAAAGATGATGATGAAGTTGAGCAGTTGTTGTAGTTGGTGTTATATGATTAGTATTGACTGTATAATCATTATCACTGTATGGAATGTAATCAATATAACCATTATAAACACGAGGTCCTAAAGAAAAGAAAATTTTATTATGTATTGAAGTTTTGCCAATACTCTGTGGTGTTCTATAGCTTAAGTATATTTTGAATACGAAACTCTAGACAAACTTTTGACGCATGTCTGTTTTGAATCTTTTTTGTATCATTCATAAGTATAGAAAATTTTCATATTATGTACTTACGAAGAATTCGTTTAACAGCTTCGACTGTAAATCGAGTTTCACCTATGTAATAGTAGAAAAAAGAATATTTTGTATAGAAAATATGTCTATTCGTAAATAGTTTTTACCAAGAAAACGATATTTTTCACTTTCACAATCAACATCAGCAATAATTCCCCATTCAATACAGAGAAAAGAAAAAAGTCGTTGTCCATCACAGGTATCTATAACAGCTAAATCAAATGGAATGACACTATGCGTTGCAGTAAGTATAGCAGCTTGAACTACGAATTTTTCCATTGTATCCATAACTGATTGTCTGGAAAGATAATTATAAATGATTAAAATAAATGATTTATTCTATCAGAATAATTTTACTTGCTATCACGTAAAATATTTGTAATAAAAGCATTACCAGATCCACATGGTACATGTCCAATAGGTAATTTAAGAGCTTCTTGCCAATCATCTCTACTCATAAGACCATTTATAACCTTGAATACAAAGAAATCATATAAGGATTTTATATACAATATACAATCATTTACTTCATAGACAAGTCCATCACCAGATGCTAAAATAATACCGCTCCAATCGGCAAGTTGTATAGTTCGTACATAATCACGAGCATGGCCGGCATATTCTATAATATTTAAATAATATAATGCTATAGACAAGAATATTTTGAAATGCGCTAACCTGTTATAATCATTTGATAGCTAAATTCTGATTCACTCCATA